CGTCTGATAATTACGATTTCTGTGGGTTTTACATGCAATAATGATTTCTTAATGAACAGATCAAATGTCATCCGTGGACAGGACCTCAATTCTTTCGAAACTGATCACACTCAACTTTTTAGGCAAGACGGAGACAAGCAGTTCGGGCGACATTATTTACAGTGCGAGGTATTCACAAAGTACTCTCCATAAGGATCCAATTAATTCTTTGTCCAATTTCATATTTACATAAATATTCAGAACATCTTTGAGGCTCCGGTGCGACATGTATTTCGAATATTACCCAGCAGATACACAAGAATGCACATTTCACGTCCGAAGTTGTGAGTGGAATTATTATTACCAGTTTAAAAATGATTATACAACTTATGTACAATTATATAAAGTATAAAATAATGCAGATTCGTATACAATGAAGGATCTGGAACTCTTTTGGAAAAAGAGGCCAGGCAAAGCCATTTTCCTGGATGATCCTGAAGATGCCAATTTTGACTTACAAATATCTTCCGCCGAACCTCATCAGCGGCTCAAATCATTGCGGATTGAGGAAAAATTTGACGAATTTAGGCGTAAATAAATTTAAGATTTATATCTTTGTGCATCTGTATACCTTTTCCAATTTTCATGCAATTTCTCAAGGAGGAAATTACTCTGCTCTGGTCTTTACAATTAAACTGAGAAGAAAGTTGAGCTACCACCTCGTCCAGACCTACTTGCCCTCAGTCCTGCTAATCTTCATCACTTGGCTCTGCTTTCTTATCCCGTCGAACATGGTCGAGGCTCGGATAGGAATTTCATTGACCACGGTCCTCACCTTAACTGCAATGTTCGCTGCAGTCCTGTAATTCCACAATATGTACATCTTGCAAGGTATTTTACATACACGTGTGTCTGTAATTGCAATTTCTTATTAGTCAGCAATCTCCGGTAGTGAGCTATACGATGGCCATCGACATTTGGATGGTTTTCTGCATATTCTGTCTTTTTGGCCCTCCTCATGTTTACACTAATCTATTGGTATGAATTCAATGATGAGTATAACGAGTAATGAGTATAAATAACGAACATTATTACACAAAATCTGTAATTTTGAAGGATGAAATTGAGACTGACAAAGAATCAAGACAGGCAAAGCACTAGAAATCCCACGGATAATAAGGTGACACTACTTTTAAATGCAGCCCTAAACTACTCCTAGTAATTTCTCCCATAAAATATAAATCCCTTAATAATTAGACGGATGAGGACCAAGTTTCCACTGAATCAGAGCCAATTACTGCATACGAAACATTTGTCGGCATTACAAAAAAGTACGCCTTCTGGACATTCGCTCTCATTTTTCTCGTCTTCTTCTTCACCTACTGGATCTGGCTTCTCACTTTCTCCGGATATCACAGCTATTTACAAGCGTTACACTGAAGGACGCAACCCTTCAAAATTAGTCCTTTTCAGCCTCAACTACCCGGGATCGGTGTTTGTACCATGTTTACTCTGTCCTTCAAACAAGGCTTTATTAATTGCAGAAAATCTTACTTTGTCCTTCATCCTTCGTCAAATTGATGTAGCTTGGGACGCGCAAAATTTGAATCTTCATGCGAATATAGTGCAGCACGTTGGTTCAAAATTAATCCAGCAGGAGGGTGACTGCACCCCAGTTTTAAGACATTTCTTTAATATTCGTTCATACGAATTTTGTCCGCTGTTCATTCTCCGACAAAAATTTAACTTCACTTATTCATTCTGGACATCAGGGAACAAGACTGTGAACCGAGACACAATCGGAAGTATAAACTTTAATTCTATTCTTTCAAATGGAAAGCTGGACCAAATACTTCAAAAAAATTACGGTCTTTACGGCGTGAATTTTGCGAAATTCGAGTTTTCCGTCGTTACCGTATTTCCAGCCGTGGCGAATAATTTCGCAATATTTCTGTTGCCATTCGACACAACGACGTGGATTCTTTTAGTCGTTTCGTGCATCACGATTTCAAGTTTAGTTCAGATTTCGGTTTCTGCTTCTGGATTCAGTTATTCAATTGTTTTGAAGAAATATATTACAAACGCCCTTTTCAAAGTTACCGCCATGCTCTTGGGGCAAAGTGAAAAGGGAGACGGGACAAAGATTTTTGCAAAAAGACGCGTAGCTCTGATTGTCTCGACCGTTTGGTCATTTGGGTGCTACATTTTGATGGAAAACTTGTACCAGGGAGCCATGTTTTCATTTCTGGCGGTTCCTGAATTTCCCAAGGTACCTCGAACCATGGAAGAGCTCATGTCCTCCAAACTTCCCGTACTAACAACAAGCTCGTTCAGATTTTATAGCGCTGCCATGAACGGATCGAGGCGAACCGTCACGACGGACTCGACCCTTAAGGGTATCATAATCCCACAATTGATGGTTGCGGCAAGTCCCGCTTATCGGAGGTTACTCGATTCATTGGATAAGAGAATTGTCTTTGTCATCCACATCGGAACCTCGGTTGAAGATATAATTCGAAATATTTCAAACTCAAAACCTCTCCGGAAAAATTTTGAAACGAGTGAACCCTTCGTAATAATGAATGCTGCAGATGATTTAGGTTATTTTACGGAGCCGATAAGATTTCTGGGTAAGCGGTTAGTCATCGATGGTCGCAGTGGTGAGGTAGGGTTTCGAACGGCCACTGTAATGAGCGGATATAGAAATTTCGTATTCCCTCGGTTTTATTCGACCCATATGAGGCTGGTGGAGTCGGGGTTAGTCGAGACATGGCAGCATTTAGTCAGGTCATCAGATCGACTAAAAGAAATGAGAAAATATGGGAATGAAACGTTTAAAAAGTTTTACACACAAATTAATAGCGATGTTACGATTCAGCCAGAATTTGATGAGTTCGTCCTAGTCTCTTTGGAAGCTTTGAAGTACGCCTTTGCCTTGTGTGGGGCAATTTTGTGGGTGGGTGTGGTCAGTTTTGTGGTCGAGCGGAGGGCCATAATTGTCAAGATTTTTAAGCGGGTGAAAGCAATTTCTGGTAACTTTTTGACCAGGAGGGTGAAAGGTTTTGGAAAGTGGTTAAAGATTTGCGTTTCTAACGATTGAAAGATTGCGAGATGATATTCCTCCTCGTAAAAGAGTTGCTGGAAATGCCAGCTAGTTTCTTTGAATTTTTTTTGCACATTTCCAGAAACTTTAAGGTGTTTGAGGTTTTTAGCTCGGAGAACATACAAAGAAGGAAGGTATGCTTAAGCTCTCTTTGTGCTGAAAACTTTCTTGTGAATCAGTATGCATTGGTACAGACGGAAAAAGGTGGATACCCAGCCTAAATACTATATAAAAATTATATGTATATATTTATACATACATACATATGTATGTACATACATCTACTTGACTATTGATAATCTTTCACTATGACAAGACTGCTTAAATATGTGTCGCACATGCATATTTAAGTGCCTGATATGTATATCTAGTATCTTATACATTTACATATATTATCTGAAATTGCATGATTATCAATTTCCACAGAGTATGAAATATTACACTTGCCACTTGGTCAAACCTATGTATATATTTGCAGATAAGTGAATCAATAGTCTATATATGTGTAAATGTCGACTGAATATTTAGTTAAGACGTGATATGCATTTAACTATCTTGCAATAATTAACTCGGACAACGATAAGCATAACGAGATTGAGTAAAATGTGGTTTGTTAAGTTGAACACTTTTGGATAATTTTAAGCCATTTATTGCGTATTAGCAAATTTGAATAAATACATAAAATCTTAGCATAATTTGTATAATGTTTCAGATCAATTACTTGTGTCCACATACATTTTACATGCATACATAGATACGCCGTCAATACAAATAAATGCATAACTCGTTCTGATTTACATAATTACACATAGATACAAGTGAAAAGTAAACTTCAAAATGCAAGTTACAAAGTTAAAAGTGTTAATCATAAAAATTTTTCTTATCACTATTGGAATTCGAACAAATTTTGGGTCTTTAATTTCTCCTACCATTAATCTTCATATCTCAAATGACAGTATTATTGTCATATACATTGATCATCAATGACATCAATGATACAACACCAATACCCATTTTAGGTGTTCCATCTGAATTCAGATGGAACACCTAAAATGACCATCTGAAGTCAGATGGGTGCTTCAAACAGCCATCTGAATTCAGATGGAACACCTAAAATGGGTATTGGTATTGTATTCTAATACAAAATACTTCAAAAATTTTAATTGCTGATAAGAATGGGAAATTGTGTTTGTTTGTCTCAAGTTAAAGTGGTGGAGTCGATATTCCACGGTTCGATATCATGTTTCGTGTCAAGATTGTAGCCATCAACAGCCAACATTCTACAAAACATGGAACCTGTCAAACTTTTAAGTTAAGCTTGAAGATAATGTCACATAGTCTACTCGTTGATACTTTTGGCATGTGATGTGCCACCACTCTTTTCACCATCTGTCTACATACTTGTAAAAAAACAACACATTTCTATATAATAAATGAATTTGGAACGAGCTAGAACTTTGTCGGAGAAAGTTTTTTTTATCAATATTTATGCATACCGGAGGTAACTGCTATTGTAAATTGCAGGATACGCAATGAATTATTTGGAGTCTTGGAAAAATCGTCCTCTTTGCGGTTAGAGATTATCGGGCGTTGCGTGCATTGTGGCAATTCGATCACAACCATTCACAACATCCTTAGCAATTCTGTGCCAGCGACCGTCAACACCGCTATGAATTGTGCTCACGTCATGTCTTGGGTAAGTCTAAAAATAAATGTTGAACGACATATCAATCTTTACTTGGGTGGAGTCGGGGTAAGACAAATACATGCTTTCTCATGAACGGAAACTAGGCTGATTTTTTTATTAGTTATCGATAGTACAGAAATCTTGGTACTTAATCTATTCGTATGAAGCGATACATATATTTAACGAATTGCATAATACACTGTCATTAAAACCATGGGGCAGATAATATTATTAGAATGTGTAATTATAGTTGTGAGGTTGACCCTTGATATTCCGTCTCAGTTTGACGAAAGATCCAGAATTCCGTTGACCAAAAGATGAACGCTGTGACGCTGAATTTGAAGTGGAGGAGGTCGTGGTCGTAGGTAAAGCACCGTAGGCTTTACTAGTGGCGGAAGAAGAAGCAGAAGTCGCAGTGTCGGATGATTTTACTGGGGGACCGTAGGGAGCTGAGGGTGCTGGGTTTGGTGAAGAATAGCCTCCACTTCCAGAACCACCACTCCCACCCACATTTTCGTACGTGACATGAGCTCTATATCCACCCTCATCTGCCGTATAGGTCACAACCTGCATTCTACCATCTGGGAGGAGGACGCGATAACTTCCTTTGGTGGTGAGTCCATTCCTTTCTTCTTCGTGACCAAAATCATTACCGTTTCCACCGTCGGTCACGGCGTACTGGAAATTATAATTGGCGGCAGCTCCCTAAAAAGAGTACGAGAAACGTTATCATGATCATAACCAAGTGGAAAGGGCATGGCCATGTTATTTTTGTTCGCTGATACACATATACAAACAAGCACTTTAATCATCATAAGATGTTTACACGTTAATTTGTATTGATAAGCATGACGTGACAACAGCATATAATAATTCATTTCTGCAGTATGAGCTATTACATACAACGTCATATAATATAATGTTGATCTAATGTCAACAGCAGGTCACGGCTAAAAAATCATCACCAACCAAATGTCAAAAGTCAAACTTGAAAGGATCTTACATATCCGTCGCTGTTATCTTTAGTAGCACTTCGAGTGCTCCTAGGAGATTTTTCATAAGCCGCACAGTCAACATCTGAGATCAGTCCGAATAAGCTCCCGATGACCAAGATAAAGCAGATCTGAAATTAATGAAAAGCTTCCAACTTCAGATTGAAAGAGGATTTTTTTCGGATTACATCCGCTTTGAGATCAAATTCAATTTCCTACACAATTACATGATCACACATCATCCTCCATCTTAAACGGACTAGGTATAAATGAGATATTGATAGATCCTTGAACTTATTGATTTTTCGGGTTAAAAGGTAAGAGTATTTAAAGTTTTTACCTTGCCAAATTCCATTACTATTAGTATTATTATTGAAGAAACTTTATCCAGCAATCTCTCCAAGTTAATTGAATTTTGTGGTGTATGTATGAAAACTTTTTTGAAGTAAACTTTTATGAAAGCTCAATCTCTTTTAGTTTCTGATGACTGAGGTGAACAAAGACAAATAAATGATTTTTGCACACCCTCGCACTTTATGTGGATCAATGAAAGAAGACTGATAATCCTTTTTGCATAAATCTTGCTATTTATACTCCGCCAAAAGGTGGTAAGTAAAATTAATAAACGTGGGCGGCGAGACAAAAGTTTCTGGTAAACGCATCTCCATGCATTTTAGCCTACAAAGTTGAATTCCTGTTGAAACAAAAGTCTTATCAGATGATATAGATGACGAAAGACCTCGTCAAATATATTGAATTAATCCCAGTCGCCGGAACCAGATCTTGAATCATGATTAATGGATACTACCTTTCTCGCTCAGAGTAATTGGCTCAGCTCTATATTAAATCATATACGTGCGTAGGACTTCATATACTTGTATAAATTGATTTTGATTTTGATGACACAAATCTAAGACAACTGTCGATGTATATTAAGCACGCCTGAATTTGTTCACTTCTAATTAAGTTGACCATTTACCCAAGTTGTCGAATCGAATTATGAGCGATGAGCGAACTTCTAGAAATGGAACACGGGAAGAGGCCGTGACTGGCAAGGACGGTTGGGGGCCGCCATGATGATGCAAGTGAAGATGAACACGAGAATCCGTGTCGATGTATGCAGAAAACACATCAAGGAACCTGACGACAAACTTTTAATAATTCACTTTCATATTCTATGAAACAAGGATGCTACGAAAAACATTATTTAATTTTGCAACAACATAATAATAATGATGATGGAGGCATTTTTTGACAAAATTGAAGATGAGTATCAGTATATTATGCCATAGTACATATAGATACAATTTGTCTGTGGTCTTTATGTGGATGAACATGACACGGGTGAATTTTCTGGGGAACATGACAAACTTTGGGACATGGACCATGCTCGATTAGAATTTGGAAAACAAAATGTGCTAGGTACTGTAAATTTAGCATGTAGATTTACTCGCATTAATTTGTATCTGTATCTTAATTAATTTCAGCTGAAATTTTGAAGAGTTACAATAAAAATCCTATTCATGATCAGCCAGTAAAATTTTATCAAGTTTGTCGACATCCCAGTATATAAGCAACTTTTTTTAATGAGATACTATGTATAGATTTATCAGCTTTTAATAATAATTAGAATGATGAATGATTTACTCTACAGGACTTCGCGACGAGGGACCGAAAGGGAAAGAGTTTGACAGTTTCAAAGTGCTAATATCAAAGTTATTTGGAAATCTAACAGAATTACGACATGGCTCATTGACTTCAATGGCATTAAATATGACAAACTCGATTGGCGACTTTGGATTTTTTAAATTTGATCTTGCAGGCAATCCATACATTTTGGTAATACAATAATTCTGAAATCGAATCTGCCTACATATCTATGATGTAATAAGATATGAAAGCTTATTTGAAGTAATAATTGTAGGTACAAAAATTAAACTTGGCGTGGATGAATAGTCAATTTAGTGATTCGACTATCAAAGCCATTTTGCAAGTAATTTTTCCAAAGCTGGGAGAAAATCTGCTTTCAGATTTATCAATTGGAGCCGCAGAAGTTCTAACTACGCTAAATAACATCGCCACTAATGAGACGAGTGCGACATGCAGTTCGTCGGAACCCACGCCTGTATGCATTTTTTAAAAACTTGTAGAATAAAAGCGCTGAACTTTATAAATATGTTATGCTATGTATTACCAATGTACTGAAATTGCTGAAGAAATCAATTATTACGTATCTGAATTTTAGGAACCGTTCGACGTTCGACAAGTTTTAGAAGATTACGTTGATAATAAAAAGTTGAAAAATGAATATTCAAACAAAGAAGTAGAAGAAGAAGTAGAACTATTTTAACTGTTTAAACTGTTTAAACTGTTGGAAAGATAATATCCCAAAAAATGCAAAAATTCTGAACACAAACAAGGATCAAGCCATTGGTAAAAGTTAATAGTTTCAACATTTTTAATTAAGAGTATTATCACTAAAATTATTCCATATCTATTTCAGTGGGATTTTGGATTATCAGAATTTTAATGTGGTCACTTAAAGAGATAGATTTTGATGCATTTCGCTTATTAGAACCAGCGTTAAACACTACAAGATATTTTCAAGACATTGCATTATGGCGTACTAAATCGTAATACACCTTTAAACTATATTGCACTTTTGTTGAGTGACTTACCATTGTTGTGCTTCTCACCTGTAGAATAGATTCCCAATGTTTCCAATCGCTAACCCGCAGCTTGGGATATTTACCAGTAAGTAAACAATTTAATATAAAAGAACATAACTATTCAACAAGTTCATATTTTGCTATACTCCATTCATGAAGGTGCATCGATACTTTGAACGCCTGCAATTGGATGCAGATCAATATTATCGCAATGTATGTAAAAAAAGCACATCAATTATTAATAGAAATGTTACACTAGAAGACAAGAAGGGTTGAAACTTCTTACAAATTTGGACGCCTTTAACTTGATGTCAAACATCCCAACGCAGCAAGATCTCTCTGTGGAAAACTCCAAAGACTTGGGAGATTTGCACTTGGGAGATGTACATCTTCATAATTTTTTTGCCGGAAAGGAATTCACATTGAAACGAGCCAAAGAATGGTGGAAAAGGCAACATGATCCACTTCATGTTCTCTTGAAAATCATATCTTTTTTATTAAAGGAACTCGAATACGTTCAAGTTAGAAGATCCTTACTACAATGTCAGACCGGTCATCGAATATGTATGTGTGACACGTTTAAGCCTTCAAGACATTTAATTTTTTTTTAATTATTGCAATTTTATTTTATTTTACAGGAGAATGCAATTTTTACTCCAATTTCATTTTACCTGGAGCCCTACGATTCTGATATGTTGTAAGCTGGATTTTTTTATTCAATCAAATAGTCATAAAAATAGTTATATCGAATTATGTGTATAAATATATGTATTTATTACTGCAGAGCAGTGAGGAATGCTGGTTCTACATTAGTAAGTATCAGAGCCGTGCTAAACATGTTGTTGGATTATACAGAAGAAGGTAAGAAGAAGTTGTCACTATATTTATGTTAACATTTTAAATCACATCTTAATCATCACTATTAAAGACAAAATCAAGAGAAGGTTAAAAAATGACAGTTGGACACCATCGTCTGATGCGAGTGAAAAAGAATGCTCGCTTCAAATTTATGACAAGCAGTCCAGGACCGTAAAGATAATTAAGACGACAATGAAGAAGATGCAAATGCATCAAGAAACCCCTCACGTTTTCAAGTATAGGAAAACCTTTGGGAATGTGATTGCTCTTAAAGTCGCCCATTTCGACAACGAAGACCGCAAATTTATATCGACCACTCCGTTTTGGGCGCTAACTAAGAAATCAAAACGATGGGTAATGTCGAAAAAATTGAAGGGTTACGAAAAGTACTCTGAGGAGCAGATTTTCTTCATGTCAGCAGTTCGAGTAAGTACTGCACCTTTCCATGTATTGTGTTCTATTTTAATTGAAATATTTTCCTTTCTCTTAACAGAACTTTTGTCGGCAAAAGCTGGAAAATGATGTAGAAGGTTTCTATGCAGAATACATATAACTTCAATAAATTCAGCTCTACAACAAATGACCGAGTTTTCTACGGTTTGGGAATGTCCACCAAATTCAGGAATGAATCCACCACATGAATGTTTCTAGCACCCTTTGAGATTTTATTATCGACCGTTTAAGTGATGTGTATGCATAGAACAAAGAATTTATTTTGATTTATTTATTTTCAAGGTAGAAATAATATTGAATAATAATGTGTGTTCAAGTTTGACATGTCTATAATAATGCAGTTCAAGAATAATTGAATTATTATAACGTTATTATAGCTCCCAGTGTCACTTTCATAAATTACATATCATCCATGCGAAAATCTTTTTCCCATTTACTGCCGAATCCCATTTCTTCTTCAAATTGATTCCGAAACATGTCAAAAACTTCAGAATCACGACATTCGCTGCTATTTTCACTAGACCATGCATATTGGTTGTCATCAGACTGTTCTTCGTCCATCCTGGTAGGTCTGCGCATTTAGAAACCACAAACTTTTTTCGGCTTCCTGTTGAGAAAACTCAGCAGTGTGCAAAAACGGATGACGATGATTTTGGTCCTGCAGTCCTAAAAAAATCAAGAAACCCCTTCTTAGTCATCCGACATTGACCGTTTAGTTTTTTCAGGATTTTTCATCGTGACACAACAACTTTTATACTGAAGAATTTACGATTTCTGACGCACTTTGGAACGCTTAAAATAATTAGTCAAAGAAAATCACCCTAGAAAAGTGCCTGGAAGTATTTTTATCGGGTAAAAAGCGATGCGTTCTTAAAGTTAAGAACAGGGGCCGTCATATCGAGCAAGTTTCACACTTAAAAAGCGCCGCCTGTGGGATAGAAAAATTGTGGAATTTTCGCACGAATAAATGGGGCAACCTCTGTAAGATCTAGCAGCAAACTGTTAGATGTAAAAAAATTTATTGGTGTGAAATATTTTTTTTTGTAAAATCTTCAATACACAAAAAAGTCAATTATATCTAGTGTAAAGCTAGCGACCTGGCCCGGGCCCTTGCGGGCCCCGGGCCTGGTATTTGGTACCACTATATACCACGGTTGGTACGGTACTGACTGATATGCTACACAAAACGTAGCATCAGAGGTTGATCGAATCATAGGGGGAAAATGAGACTGAAATAAAACAAAAAGCCGTAAAAGGAGTTGTGCAAAAGTAAAAACAAAGCGTCAACTTTTGCAGGTAAATCATTTCCCACAAAACGGGAAATAAATAGAATTGAAACTATATTGCTTTTCTCAGTTGCAGGATAGTATTTACT